ACCAGGTGTCAGTCATGTGGGTGCTGGGATCGAAACTTCAATCCTCTGGAGAACAAGGGCTCTAACTACAGAGCCATCTCTCCAGCCCCTATATATGCATTTTCAAGTATAAAATAGTATAGTTCCCCATGACTTTTTCAATCAACCCTGGTATTCTTTATTTTTCCTCCTTCCTCTCAATCCTTACAAAGCTCCCTTTCCCATTTTTCTCTTCATAGTACCTTTTCTCTGTCTCTACAGCTCCTTCCTCTGACCCCCCCACCCCCACCCCACTGTGGTTCCTTTTTATTTCCCTGGTTTCTGTGGCTATTCCAGGTCATATACTCATTCTCTTAAAGATTTGGAGATAGGATCCATGAGTAAGAAAATCATGTGACATTGTGCTGACCCTCAAGAGCCATAGATTAACAAAAGCCCTGGATCTAGGCATTAGAAACTACTTCAAATTGCTGATCAGGGAAGTCAAGAGACTCCCAAAACAATATTGCCCTTGGTTACTACCCAGAACTTGAAGGAAAAAATCTAATACTGAAGATATCACACACTTGAGACACAGGACTTCAAGGAATTGAGCCACAACTGATCTAGATACCTCTTCTCTGATGTCTGGCTCTCACAGTTTCAGAGGGTGTTATGTAAGCTGGCAAGAGAGAGAAGCCATCAGCAGCTCTACTCAGCTGTAAAGCCTATGAACCACAACAATGCTTAGAACAGTAAGTTATCCACAATGGTGCAATAGTGGCACTTTTATCTTGGTGGTAACAAGCAGCTGTCTAATTGGATTTAGAGCCTACTCAGCAGAAGGGAATTTATGTCCAATACTGCAAACCTAGCCAAAGAGCTACGGCTGGAGCGGTCATAGACCTTAGAGATGAATCTTCAACTGCCATGTTCCTAAATCAATATAATTTCTAACTGTATTCTAAATATCTTTACACCCATAAATAATGTAGCTCTCACTCTCACATTTTGTCTAAGAACAGTTCTATTGGGAACTATTTCTGGTGGAGGCAGAATGGAGTCTTAGTAACCTTACAGTTGCGGCCTGCTTAGGTTGTGAGTTAGGGACCCCACAATCACTTATTCTCTACATTCTGACCAGTTGTGGGTCTCTGTAATAGTCTACATCTACTGCAAGAAGATTGTACAATTTTTTAAATACTGCACAAAATTCTCAGAAGCTAATAAAAAAACACAAAAAAGAAATGAAACTGAAGTAGGTGGGCAACTAAAGTAGGTGACTGCTCTTTTGTTTCCCAGCTGCCCAGACCTGAATAAACACACAGAAACTATATCAATTCCAACATTGCTTGGTCAATGACTCTAGCAGCTAGCTCTTACATCTTAAATTAATCCATTCCTATCAATCTGTATATTGCCACGAGGTTGTGACTTACCAGTAAGGTTTGTAGGGTTCCGGCGTGTCCTTCTCCTTCAGCAGCTACATGGCATCTCTTTGACTTCACCTACACACACACACACACTCTCTCTCTCTCTCTATGTGTGTGTGTGTTCTTGCCTAGCTATATTCTTCCCTGGTATAGGCCGAAGCAGTTTTATTCATTAACCAATGGCAATAAAACATATTCACAGCATACAGTGGGGAATCCCACATCAGGTTACAGCTGTAAGCTCCTTATTAAGACTGTACCAGAAATAGTTCCTCATAGATAAGGTCAATATCTTCATGACTCAACTCTTTGAGTCATTCTTTTCCATGAATGTTAGCACATGTTGAACTGCCTTACTTGCTCTTCCTATTTATGTAAGTCTGGGAGGAGAGGTATCTTTGCATTTTGTACTCTGTGCAGCCCTTAAGTTCAAGGTGGCATGAATCTTCAAAACATAGTTTTCTTAAAACTTTGCAGGTCTCTTAGGAGTCTCACTTTTTTCCCAGCATTAATCTTGACATTCTGATGAAATAGCAGAGATGAGGATCATTCCCTTAAGATTCTTAGAAGACCTATTATTTACTAAATGAATTCGCCAGTAACACTATTAGCCATTAAGGGAGTAGGACTCAAAAGAAACTCAAGGGAATCTGAAAATACATCTGAATGGAAAGCCCTTTGGGGCAGTACCTTTCTTATCAACAAAGGATTTTATGACAGAACTCTCAGCATATCCTCAGAACTTATTTTCCTGACAGCTCCTTGGACTGAAACCAGCTTCTCCCTACCACAGCTCTGTTGGATATGGAACCCAGAAACAGCCATGCTGGGAAAGCACTCTACTACTAAGCTAAATTTCCAACCATGAAAGGAGCTACTTCTTAAATTTTATGCCATTTGCTGAGTGATATTCTTCATGTTTACTGATCGATCCCTTTGCTTGTTTTTGAGTCTGATTCTAACGAATGCAGTCCTGGCTATCCTAGTACTCACTAGATGGGCCAGGCTGATCTTGAACTTGCAGCAATTTTTCGCCTCCACCTTCTGAGTGCTGGGTTGCAGGCATTCACCACCCTACCCAGAAGACCTTTCTTTACACACTTCTCTCACATTTTACTGTAAGAAGCAACAATAAACTAGGCAACACCTTCAACTCTGTGGGCGGTAATTTGCTCATCCACATCACCCAGTTCATAACATACCTTTTCTAGTTTGTTCATAACTATGGTGACAGTGCTATAATGATCCTCTTTCCTCGGTTTTAATTAGATTCCCCTGAGTTTCCTTTGAGTCCTAATTGGCGACCTCATCAAAGGACATGAGTCTACAGTTTCCTTAAAACTGGGACTTCATGCTTTCATTCAAGTGGATCTGCAAAACCCACTATAATCATCAGTTACTCAAAGCTGTATCTACTCCAAAAGCTATTTGTTCTGAGGCAGGAGAGATGGTTCAGTGGCTAAGAACACTGACTGCTCTTCCAGAGGACACATTTCAATTTGTAGCACCTACATGGCAGCTCTGCAATTCCAGTTTTTGGGAAACTTAAGCCATCTTCTGGTCCCTGCATGCATTGCATGCATGTGGTGCACAGATATACATGTAAACAAAACACCCATATACATAAAATAAAATAAACTCTTTTGTTCTGACAGCATCTGTCTTGATCTGCTTAAGCTACTACGATGGAATACAGATATTTCCACCCTGGTTCTGAAGGCTGGAAAGTGTAAGATCAAGGCCATAGCAGATTCACTAACAAATAAAGCTTGCCTGAAGATCAGAGTGCAGAGTTAGTCATTAATTAGCCACAGCGGTCAGGCAGTGGTGGCACAAACCTTTAATCCCAGCACTCTGCACAGGCAGACAGGTCTCTGTGAGTTCAAGGCCACCCTGGGCTACACAAAATTGATCCAGTCTAAAAGAGAATCAGAGCCTGCAGTGGTGGCTCATACCTTTAACCCGAGTACTTGTGAGTAACATCCCAGCACTAGGAAGGTGGAGACAGAAAGGGATATGGCTGGGCAGAGAGAGGAATATAAGGTAGGAGAAGAAAGGAGCTCACAGCATTCAATCTGAGGTTTTGTAGAAACAGCATTCAGTCTGAGGAGTTCATAGAGGTAAGAACTAGTGGCTGGCTGCTCTGCTTCTCTGATCTTTCAGCTTTCACCCCAATATCTGAATCCAGGTTTTTATTATTAAGACCAATTAGAATTCGTGCTACATAAAAATACTTAAGTACTGGATATTTCTAACAGCTGAAATCTTTTTTTTTTTTTTTTTTTAGTTTTCGAGACAGGGTTTCTCTGTGGTTTTGGAGCCTGTCCTGGAACTAGCTCTTATAGACCAGGCTGGTCTCGAACTCACAGAGATCCGCCTGCCTCTGCCTCCCGAGTGCTGGGATTAAAGGTGTGCGCCACCACTGCCCGGCAGCTGAAATCTTAAAGATGCTAGTTTTTTGTTGTTTCTGCTGAGTCCTGATCATATAGTACCTTGATTTTCGCTCTTACATTCTGTGATTTTCTCCTAACATTCTGTGTAAGAGTCTTATGTATAATTATCTTATGGCTGCATATGTCAATCCACAGAGAATTTGTGATTGTTTCTACCTAGTATCTAAGAGTATTACAGAACTATATCCAGTTTTGATTAAACTTCTCCATTTGTAGAGTTTTAGAACTGTGAAAATATTATAATTCGAAGCTCTAAAGTTCAAGAAAGTAAAAGCTCATGGCCAGGGCTTATTAGCAGAGTTATTACCTACACGTAGACCTGAAGCCTCAGCAGATGGCCTGACCATCCTTCCTACTTTACTGCAGAACACAAGATGTTTTTCTCTAGGACCCAGCCACCATGTACAGAAGATTTATGCCAACAGAAATGTGTTGAAGGAAAACATCATTCTGGTGTTACAGTAGAAGGGAAATGGTCCTGAAAGGACCATGTGGAGTAAAGGAAGTAACTGTGAGTGAAGAGAAGGCGATAGACAAGCGTGTCAAGCCAAAACTGAATGGAGGAGGAGACAGTGACAAAGTTAAACTAACTATTGTATTAACTGTCAGTGCCAATCCCCTACCCGACTACTCCAATAGGTAGCTGAATTTAAAAAAATGCCATATCATCAAGGAAGACAGTGGGAATGCGAAGGGCCAGCTTGGGGAAGGAAACTCAGATCTCTGTAATCTCCACCAGCACCTGAACCCAACATCAGGAAAGAAAACTCATTTCAGGCCATCCCTTGAGAAAGTCTTTGCTGGTGAGAAAACACTCTTTCTGTTGGCACTCTGAGGATATCCTCAAAGTACCCAGTGACTCCAGCACCCGATTACCTTATAAAATACATGGGTTTTGGTTCTACCTCCAAACGCTTTTATTTTTTTACATGCCCATCCATTTATTTTAAAGAACATTTTGCCTGTTTGGTAGAGGGGGGAGGTCCAACTCTTGACTGAACACTTCGGCAAATAAAATTCTATTATTTCTAAAATGGTTTTGTAAAATTTCAGTTTTGAATAGTATATTCATTCTTGCTAAATTCTTAACGTTCACTATAGTTAGCAAATTGTCAAGAGAAATGATAATCCAGACCTTGGGCTGTTATTATCTCACCTCAGAAAGCTTGTGTCTTCTGCAAATCTCTTCCAATGCGTGCAGCTTCCAGTCACTGGTCAGCACAGTTCTGACAACCAGAAAACGCTCAGAGTTAATTCTGTAAACCATATAGAAAAGATTATAGCAAACCTAATACTCTTTCCCATACTTTTCAGGTATAGATAATTACAAATTACATTCTCTAGCATAATCAAATACAGAGAAATCAAAACAAAACAAAACTAAATCCCTACTTAACTACACCAATAGGTAGCTAAATTTAAAAAGTGCTTTATCATCAAGGAAGCCAGTTCCCATGAAGGGTCAGCGTGGGGAGGGGAACTCTGGGACCAGCACCTGAACAATAACACATTTCAGCCCATCTCATCTTCTGCAAAAGGATGTGGAGAACGTTGGCTGATGTAAGACTATTTTCTTCTTATCACAGCCTGGTAAACTTCAGCTCTATTATTTCACAGCAACAAACAAACAAACAAAAAATAAAACAAAACCCCTACAACTTTGACTTGTCACAAAGAACATCTGGGCTTTAAAACTGTTTGCTCTTTTATTTTTCAATGTTAATATTTGTGTGTGTGTCTGTGTGTGTGGTTGTGTTCAGGGTGTGTATATGAAGGTCAGAGGACAATTATGAAGTTGGTTCTCTCCACGTTTTTGTGGATTCCAGTGATCAAGCTCAGAATGTCAGGCCTGTGTGGTAGACACAATACATAATGAGTCTACATGACAACCAAGTTTTGTTCTTTTCAACTTCGCCATACTTTTAATTCAAACGTTTTACTCAGCCATTTGGGACGTTGTAATATTTATCTCTACATCAATAACAGTTGTGTATGCATCACTGTGCTGGCTGGTTTTAGGCCAACTTGACATACAGGGTCAGTGGAAAGGAGAAAACCTCAGTTGAGAAAATGCCTCCATAAGACCTGGCTAGAGGGCATTTTCTAAATTAGTAACTGACGGGGAGGGCTGAGCCCACTGTGGGTGGGGGCCATCCCTGGGCTGGTGGTCCTGGTTCTATAAGACAGTGGACTGAACAAGCCATGAGAGCAAGCCAGTAAGCAGTACTCATCCATGCCCTCCATATCAGGTCCTGCCTCGCTTGAGGTTCTGTTCTAACTTCTTTCAATGATGAATAAACCAAATAAGCCACATAAACCCTCTTTCCCATTTGTGTTGGTCATGGTGTTTTATTATAGCAATAGTAACCCTCGCTAAGAAAATCCCCTATCAGAAATTAGGAAAACTTACACTTCTCTCCTTTAGTACACTACTCTTGCATGAAGAATATATAAACCACCAATCTGGAGTCCGCATCTTCATTGTCCAAGCAGGTTTAAACTGACCCTTAGCTCCTGATGTTCTTTGTTCTTCAAGGTGGATGTTTATCCTGCAATAATGTATAATAATAAATAAAAGTAATTTAGGCCTGAGAGTCTCATGGACCTGGGTTTAATCTCAAATCTTCCACTTAATATTTGTATAAACTAATCAAATTACTTGAAAACTCTCTGGACCCATAAAAAGAATCCTAGGTTGCAATGTATAGATCAAAAGACACAACAAAAATGAAAAAATAAATGCCAACATAAAATAAAACTGCAGCATAATTGGTCATGTCCTCTCTGCCCCCTAACCTTCTCTCTGACCCTTCCCTCTGTCTCAACAGGTTCTTGGTCTGTAATCCAGGATGGCCACAAGGTCTCCCTTTGCCCACCACCACCTTGCCAGTGCTGGGGCTACAAATGTTGTGAGAAGACATCTGACTCGGGGGACAACTATTATGTTTGGTGCTCTTCTAAGTCATTTTGACTTAATTCAGTCTGTACAAAATGCCTTTCCAGTGTAAATTTTCTTAAGTCATAGACTTGATGAACTTGCTTCGAATGATTATCAACATTCAGCAACACAAAATATACCTAGTAATGCATATACCTCTCTAAAAAGTAACACACCCAAACTCTACTGCCAAACATACCACACACCACTGTATAGTCCAAATCTATGCCCAAAAACTACTAGAAAGTTCCTTTTGTGTTGATGCTCCCAAAGTGTAAAAATCTTTTAGTTTTCAGGTTTTTTTCTTTCATCCTATCATTTTATTTAATTTTGTGGCTAAATGTGTAAATAGTAATGATTCTGAGGTCAAAATATAAGCAAGTTATCTCAAGAGAAAGCTCTCTTTAATTGTTGGCATCTTCTGTCTTTAGGGGATTCTATGTATTGTTTCTCCGGAGAAAGAGGGTGATTTGGAAGGGCACCACCAACCTAGAAACTGTCCTTTTATTTATTGTTTGGCTGCACTACACAACAGTATATCCAGTCAATCTCCTATTAATGAGCACTTGAAATGTTTCTGATTTTTTAATTAAGTGTGATAGTTAATATTAAATGTCAATTTGGTGAGATACTGAGTCAATTAAGAGACACGATTCAGGGTAGTTCTGTGAGGGTTTCTAGAAAGGACTAGGTGAGGGGAACAAACTCTCCCTCAGAATGAGTGCACCTTCCAACAATTGGCCCAAATATAGGGACCAGAGAAAAAGATGTAGTGGCCAGACTGCCTTGTTTCTTGCTAGTGAGTATGGATGTTGCTGCTGCTGCTGCTGCCGCCGCCATGTTTCAGAGCTCAGACTCCTGCTCCTTTGGCCTTCCAAAACTGAAATCCAGAGATCCTCCAACAATCTTCAAGGTCTTGAGCACCAATTAGGACAGAGGCATCCAGTTCCATAGATCAAACATCTACCGGGTTCTTACCCTCTCCAGCATATGGATAGTCATTTTTGGAGTACCTACCTGCTAACATGTAAGTCACTTGAATGAATCTTTTTTAAAAAATGTATTTTACTGGTTTTGTCGACCAGGGCACCCTGTCTAGTACCAGCAGTGCTCAGTGACCAACAGTCCAAAACTGTGAGAGTGTATTTTCTTAGTGTTTCTAGAAGAGATTGCTAAAAGTTTAATGCCTGTGCTAAAGGATACATGCATGTGACTTTCCTGGATTCAGCAGGATTCCTTCCCAGATACTTTTTTATGTATCCACATTTACAAGCAATGTACCCATGTGCCTATTTTCCCACCAGCTGGTCCTAGATTTTGTTGAGAAATGCTTAAGAGCAGTTTAAATTGTGTGTGTATAAATATTTGTAGGCACATGGACACGTAGGCAAGAAGTTTGTTTTAGTGTCTTCCTCTATCTTCCCATGCCTTAAGTTTTGAGATAGGAATGCTCACGGATTCTGAGTTCACCCACTGGCTAGGCTGGCTAGTTAACTCCAAGGACCATATCTCTACCATCCCCTGCTCCCTAGTCCCTCACTCCTCCCAGTGTTGGAGCTGCAGAAACAGGCTGCTCTTTCTGGCTTCTATGTGGGCTGGGATCCAAACCTAGGTCCTAATGCTCGCAGAGCAAGCACATTACCAATGAAGCCATCTCCCTAGCCCTCCCTCAACAGTCCTGACTCTTCAGCACAGCTTTAATTTGAACTTCTTTGTGACTGAAGCTGGGACCTCTTTTATCCAGCTATCATTATGACTCCTCTTCTTGTGAGGTCTCTTCAAATCTTGGCATGAGTTGCCTAGATTTTCAAAAACAGGTTTTAATTTACACTAGCTTCAAACATTTACCTCATTTTGTCATCTGTCTTTGCTTGCATTTTTCACCATGTAAATACTTTTTTTCAACACATTGGGATTTATACTGATTTCCCTGGCAGTGAGTCATGGTTATAAAAACCTTGGCTTATGATTTCACACTTTAGCCAGGTTGTACCACAGCTGTTTTGCTCAGTGTTGCTATTGAGAAGTCTGTTGCTAGCCTCTTTTTTTGCTGGAAACCCAAGGGAAATTTTCTTCACTGTCTTGAAAGTTTCCCTAATCTATAACTTGATGCTGATCACTATGGGTCAACATTCCTAACACATAGAATCGCTTTTAAAATGGGGGAAGGGTCAGCATTGCCTACACAGTTTTGGTCATGCTAGGTCACCACTGTACCAATGACACCTTTAGTCTGAAGGCCTTTTTAGTGTGAACACTTGAGTCGTCTCTATTTAAAGGATGCTTCCATGGACAGAAGTTTAAATATCAGCCCTACTATTGTTTTACTTCTCAGGAACTTAAATCTTTCATCTTGTATCTTAACCAACTCCTAGATATTCATGATGTGACTTTGAAGGAGAACACATACCTAAAATATAAGGCCCTGGGTTCAATCCTTAGCATAATACACATCTGTCTGTTTCTTTGCTGTGTGCACACACACCTGTGTATCTTTCTAGTCCCATTTTCTTTTCTTTTTTTTAATGGCTGTCTTCATGACTTGTTCAGTGTGCCTTATTTCCCTTTATGTACCTCAGAGTTTAGTTTCATTTTAAAAGATATATTTTCTTAGTTCAAAAAAATTCATCTTCATACCCTTTTTGTTTTTGCTCTTTTGGGGTATGAGTAGGCTAGGTTTGCTGGCAAGGGGGCCCCCAGGAACCTACCATATCTGCCTCCTTAGCAGTGGGATTACAAGTCTGAGTCACCAAATCCAGCTTTTTTACTTGCGTTCTGGGGACTGAATTCCTATCTTGGTGCTTGCTTGCAAGGCAAGCACTTTCTGATTGAGCTATCTCTCTAGCCCTAGAAGTTCCAATTATCTGATGACAGTTGGTTCATCAGGCAATCAACCCCAATCTTACAAGCTTCTTTCCTGGTGGCTAGCTTACATGTGCTAGAAGCTGCCATGTATGTAGGCTGCCGAGGCAAGGAAAGTCATCAAGTCTTACCCACTGTGGAACCTGTGAGCTATAACATCTGGCCTGGAAGGTGTGTCCATTAGTGCGATAGTGGCACAAATGTTACAGAGTTAACCAACAACTTTCTATTTAGACTTCAGTCTCACTTCATGTCTGGTACTTTAAAACTAGGCAAGAACCCATGGCAGGGGAGGCCATAGCCCTACCACTATTATTTTGCTCAAGGAAATCAAACTCCCTTCTACATACTTATCCTTATACCCATAGACCAGTGCAACTCTCACCCCTCATTGCTTCTTTACATAGTAGACAGAAGTTAGTACAAAGACTGGTAAGTGGTCAAGTGCAGAGAATAAATGACTGTGCTTGGCCTAAACGGGACCTCTGCACCACACCCCTTAGTGCCCTCCCTCAAAAGGCAGGGAACGCTGCAGGAAGGATTGGCGGTCTGGTGACTGCTATGAAGTGCTGTCTTTAGGACATGGTGACACCACCGCACTCATGAACTCAGTGCAGCTGTGGCCACGAGATATGCACAAGTTCCAGCAGATGAGCAATCCAGCACGGAAAAGGGGAGGGGCACATGAGGACAGTAGACAGAAGCTGGAAAAGGAAGTCTTCCTCAGGGGTACGGCCCAGGGCAATCTGCCCATACGCCAGTGGATGGTAACCTATACCCATAGGTATATGGGCAGTAGCTAAAGGACTTGGGGGGGAAAAGGGAGGGGGAGGAAGACCTACGCTGTTGGAGGGGGATGGAGTCTGGGATGAGTTGGAGAAGGTAGCAGGAATGGATATGATCTAACCACATTACATTGTATTTGTAATGAATTAGCAGAGAATAAAATAATTTAAATTGATTTATGACTTTCTGTATCTATAAACTTCATGCAGTTCCTTCCAGAAAAGACCTCATCATCAGAACAACCTGAATCCATCCATCCTCCCAAGACATGGCTACTCATATTCAGCTCGGGCACATCTAGAACTTTTATTTCCTCTAAAATAGATTTCCTGACATTTTTTCCAAGTCACTTGTCTTTTTTTTTTTTTTTTTTTGTCCATAACTGAAAAAAGGTTCAGTTTTAAAATCCAACCATTTTACGACTACATCTCAGTGTTAAGTGTTCTGGGCTGAGTTCCAGATTTTGGGGTACCTTTCAACATAGCCAGCCTTTAGTGTTAAATGTTCAGGAACTGTGGCTCTGACAGTTATTGTAGTCCAATGCTTTGCTTTACAGGGTTCATTATGAAAACATGAGCACAAAGTTTACCATTTAAACCACTTTTAACCTTTCAACCTACTGGCAGTAAGTATACAATGTTGTACAGCCACCACTGGACTTCAGTTTACATGAGAGAAACCCTTTATTTGGCCGTCTGTCCTGTCTTTTCTTTTAAGAATGTAGTCCCTGACTTGTTAGGAACTCACAGAGGAGCCACCTGCCTCTGCCTCCCAGACTCTGGGGTTAAAGGTCTGTATTACCCATGGCGGTTTTTGCCCTCTTTTGAGTCCTTATTTCTTTCTCTCTTATTGTGCCATCTGTGGTGCGTATTTATCATTTTCTAATTGGCACTAAAAATGCCTGCTTTTCTCAAAATTTCCCTGAGTTCTATAAGCCCTCATTTGTTATTCTTGTATGGTATA